TTTAGTTTATAAAACAGGTATTAATATTACCCATTTCCGGGGAAGTATATACAATTTAAATTACCTCAAAGAATCAGTAAATATAGAAAACAAAGTGTTAAATTGCAAACTTAAAATAAAAAAATCAAGATATTCAGCAAAGTATTTTTTAATTAAGTTGTTTTAAATGAACAACCTAATTTTAAATGAACAGTTCAAAATTATGCTATATTTTTTGGGAATTAAATAAAGCCTAAAATATTTAGTCCAGTTTAATACCAAGGTTAGAGTACGTTAAAATATGTAGTTCTCAGTTCAGGGCTGTTAAAGAAACGCCGAGCTGTGTTTTCATCATTTATTGAAATAAATGCTGATTGAATTTTATTCATTCATGTTACTTATTATTATGATGGAAAAATAAATCCTTGTTATTTGTAAACATACAATCAAAATAAATTTATTTTGCCAAATTACTTTAGTTTATCGAATCGAATAAAGATTTAATTTTTTCTAGTTGATGTAATGTTTTATATTTGTTTCAGATCGGCTTATGACAATGTGACAAAGACGAAGGTAGCCATAAAGAAGATATCACCTTTTGAACACCAGACCTATTGCCAGCGAACGTTGAGGGAGATCAAAATCCTGACAAGGTTTAAACATGAAAATGTAAGTTTTTCTTTTATAATTATAATTTAAAATACTGTGGAGTGTGGTAGGTTAGTGCTGAGCTTTCAATGCTCGAGGTTCTAGGTTCGAATCCCAGCTCATGGAACACACCCTGGCGGGTTTCCCCACGGCTGTTGTAACAGAAATTTACAAATAATCTATAACATTATTTCAAAAAATTGTAAATTACAAAATTTACAATACTATTTTTTTTTTATTTGATAACATCCTTGCTTTCCATTAATGCTATTCACATAGGGTTAGCTGTCAACCTTCGCTCGAAAATATTTCATTTCCGCTATTACATTTTAATTTACCCCGATAGGAGTTGAAAGTTTTATTATAAAATAACTGTAATACATAAATAACTTTCTTTACATGTTTTATTTTTTTTAAGGAGTATTTAATTTTATGTAGTATTATAATTTAACACTCTTCAAAACCAAGAATAGTACTTTGGCAATTTTTACAGTCTCTAAATTCAGTATAACATAACTAATTCAAAAAATAATTTAGAAATGTTTTTTTTTTTTTTTTCAATCCCAAACCGACATACATGCACATCTACACCATAAGGAGAACTACCACTCAGTTTTTACCCTCAAAGGAACCCCTAGGTTATAAAATATCTTAACATAAAAATTTTAAATTCATGGCTCTAAGTTTCACTATTTCTTGAATCTAACTCTTATTGAAACTTTTTTTGGGGGAAAACCCTGAACATGTTTACCACTTAAGGCCACACCATTTGTGTTTGTCTTGATTCACCACTGTATATATATATATATATATTTTTTTTTTTTTTTGGCCTTTTATTCCATATATATGTATCATGAAATAATAAATTCTGCCTAACTTGTGGCAATAAGTATTAGAGATGTAAGTGACACATTCATACCAAATATAGAACAAGTCAATAACAAAAACAAAAGAAAACGCTGTATATTTATAGATAATTAATCTGATTTCACAACATGTAAGAAAAAATTGAGTCCATCTCCCGCTCTTGGTCAGTGAATTTAAATGATATCAGTAGTATTCTAATATATTTCTATTGATAAATCACTCTTTAAAAAGGAATTGAGTTATTTTTTTATATCTTCTTTTATTAGCCCAGCAGATGCATATAGCTATCCTTAGCCTGCTCAATCAGCCTTTCCTCCTGTGCTCTATCTTCTGCCATGGTGATTCTTATTCCCAGCTTTCGGAAGTCACTGCTTACATTATCCCGCCATCTAGTTTTTGGTCTTCCTGTTGAGCACACTCCATCTGGATCGAACATATGTAGTTGTTTTTTTTGCTGCTCTTACTTCATCCATCCTGTAGACAGATGGATTTGAGATGCTGAACTTTTACGAGCATAGAAGCTGCTAGTTCCTGGTGCAGCTGGTATACTTCCCTGTTTGGCCTTATCCTTCATCTTCCTGACTGTTGAACTGGTCAGAATATCCGTTTCAGGACTTTTTTTTTCAGCAGCAGTCTTAAATGTCCATGTTTCAAATCCATACATTATTACAGGTTTAACAATCGTCTTGTACAGCCTAATCTTAGTGGTCCTGCTCAGGAATCTACTTCTGAATAGCTTAATTAGAGCAAAGTATGCTTTATTTCATGAAACTATTGCTCTTATCTCCTCATCTTTATTGATAAAAGACCGGAGGTAGCTGAAATTGTTGACTACTTCTAAAGTGTAGTCGCTGACAACACTTGTATGTTTTGAGAGTGCAGGGATTTCTTCCTTGTTAATGACATTACTTAGGTTTTCCCCTCATTGACTCTTGGTCTTTATTTGGTATTCCCAATTCTTTCATGGCCATAAATAGGGCATTTCTGTTGTCAGTGTCATATGCTGCTTCAAAATCCATAAACAGCATCTATACCGACCTTCCACATTCTCTCATCTTCTCAAGATCCGCCTAATTGAAAAAATCTGTTCTATGATGTGTCGGAATCCTCCTTGGTAGTCTCCAAGTACTGTTTCTGCATATGGAACAATTCGCCTATATAAAGCAACAGAAAAGACCTTATATGCAATGGAGAGTAATGTAATCCTCCCGTGGTTCTTACATTCCCCTTTTCTTTTGTATATTGGCACTATTGGGCCCTTTGACCAATCACTAGAGATCACTTCTTTTACCCAAATTTTTGCTATCAATTCCTGGAATACCGCAGCAATTCCCTAGTTTGCTTCTTTGAAAGGTTCCACTGGAAGACCATCTATTCCAAGTGCCTTATGGTTATTCATTCTCGTTATTATCTTTATAATATCCTCTTTATCAGGTGGGACATCTTTGTCACTTTTATTGTTCTCCATTTCTGCTTTAACCTGTTCTACATTCTCAGCCTTTTCACAATTTAAGAGGTTCTGTAAATTCTTCTTCCATTGATTTCGCACTTCTCCAATGACCAATACCGTTCCCTTATCATACTCAACTGTTGTACTTTGGTTCCTATGCCCGCTCTTAAAAATATTAATCTTTCTATACATTTTCCTTATTTCATTATTCATTCTGAAAGATTCAATTTCCTCTACGTCTTATAACAAGACTCTTCGCTTCTTTCTTTTAGCAACTTTCTTGGTGTAAGTTCTTGCATCTCTATATTATTCGTGGCTTTGCCGGTTACACCTTTTTGAAAACTGCAATCTGGAAATTTAATTGCACTCTAAAATTTCTTCACTAATTTAATTATTTTTCTATTTCAGATAATAGATATACGAGATATTTTGAGAGCAACTACCATTGATCAAATGAAAGATGTTTATATTGTGCAGTGTCTCATGGAGACAGACCTTTATAAACTCCTCAAAACTCAAGTAAGGAATGTTTTAAATGTTAATTTATTAAAATTTAATTCTGACTTTATTTTATTTATTTTTTTATATGTTCTTTATTTCCAAATCGGTTTAGTGAGCCATACATTAAAAATAATGTGGGGTGGGGTATAGCCTCTTCCAAAAGACACCCCTAACAACGCATAATGGCTATAACTATGGACTATTAAAGTTTGTAGAATGCATGAATAATAATACAATAAATAAAGTATAAGAAAAATATAAAATAAATCATAATAAAATAAAGCAATAATTTAAAAAATGAATGAAAAATAATGAAATAAATAAATAATGAAAAAATAATAAAGTAAATGAATAAAATATGTATACAACAGGAATGAAAATATTGTGTATATATATATATATATATATATATATATATATATATATATATATATATATATATATATATAAAAGTCTGGCTTTCACTCTTGGGATGATATTAGAGTTCCTATGTTGAAAGCTGCTGCACCTTTAACTGCTGGTAACTGAGAATGATATTTGATAAAGCGTGTTTTCATGAATTCATATATTGTTTCCATTTGAAGTTCACGATGGAGTTGACTGTTTCTGACAAACTAAGGGTCATTTACTGCAATTCTGTGGATCTTATTTTGGAAGGTTTGTAATTTTTTTTGTTTCGAACAGGATGTTGCATTCCATACTTCACAACCGTAGACTTTATTTGATCTACAAATGTAATATGATACTTTAATGGTATAAAAAAAAAATAGTTTGTATTATGGCATTTTTTCTCTCTTTTTTTTTTGTTTTTAATCTTCATCCGATATATGGATTATATTTTGATAAATGAGGTCATAGTGGCTGAACTTGTCGAAACACTATTTTGGTGAGCTATCATCAAAATGCTGAATTATTTCCAAATACTGAGGCTAACCAATAATTTCTAATGTTTCCGCAGAATTACCCTCAACCTTCCAAGTATTGCCATAATAATAAACTGCCTGTCTTCCATGGTTTCAATACATAAAGATATTAATTATATCTGATAAGCAATCAAATAACAATTTATAAACGAAATAATGTAGTGTTGAAATTTAGTAATTCATGGAACACAAAAGCTAACACTTGCTGTAGGTGTTATTTTAGTTTTCTTCCTTTATGTCACTCGAAGATTAATTCTTAATTACACTTTGGCCGCCAGATTTTGCCAGATGCCCCTGACGAGTATTACCAGATAGTTGTCCCATTGAGAAAATATTGTTTACTGCACAACCCTTCCACAGCAATTCTGGGTGGATACCCTTCTCTTTTTTGATGTGAAAACTTCTTTAGGCGCACTTTTTTTGTCTGTAGTGAATGAGACAGAGCCATCACGCACAGCTATGTAACACTCATTCAGGTAAAGTTGGCTCGATTTGACTAATTGTTGCATTTGGATTAAAATATCTCAGAAACTAAAAATTGGATCTACATACTGTAAGCGAGGGAAAGGTTCAGCATTTCAAAATTTTATCTTGACTCGATGCCATTATCAATAGGCAGAAAGGTATAAATATAGTATCAAAAACCAAATTATAACAAATTTCATACTGATGATTCTCATATTAAATATGACAAATCCTACTGAAATAATGAAAATATACGTACATCACATATTTTAGTTATCATAAAACTATTGTTTCATTTTAAGAGCATGATACAAATGATCAGAGAAAGATAAGTTTACCAGAGTAATTTATAATTGTAAATGTTATTACTTTGTGGATATAGTACAAAAACAGTTTATATACAATTATAATTGTTTATAATGATGTAGAGATAGTTGGCCGTGATATAATATGAGAAGGAGTTGGTCAGGGGGTGCTGTCAAATAAATACTAAATTTTTAAAATAGTATATTTAATTGTTAAGCCAACGTTTCGACCCACTCTGTAGGTCTTCATCAGGTCTACAAAAGATACAAAAAATAATTGGTACATGGTGAAAATGAATGAATTATAAGTAGATATTAAATAAAGAACAGTTGTCTGATAAAGAAATAATGAGATGACATCAGAGATATAGTGGGTGACAATGTAGTTACAATATCAAGTATTATATATATATATATATATATATATATATATATATATATATGGAAGATACAAACAAAAATAGAAAATAAGTATGAATGAAAATAGAAAACAAAGGAGAATATAACTTGTAAGTTTAGTATTTAGTATTTATTTGACCGCACCAACTCTCATATAATTGTTTATATTGTAAATGTTATTACTACGTAATGTACAATGTAAAAAAATGAGAATGTAATATAAAAATAATGTATATTTCATATTATTAATTCTGCCTTATTGATGTTTTCACTTCTATTGTGCCTTAAGCACATATCGTAGTTTTTTTTTTGCGATCCGATGGTCTGAAAAATATTATTTTAATCATATATTTTGTAAATTGTAACTAGTTAAGGTCCTTCAAATATCCGTTTCCTGTCTAAAGATATTCATTTTATGATAAGATTATTGTTTAATTATTCTCTAAGGTATTGGTTTTATTTTTGTATAGATTTACTTATATCTGATATATAATTTAATGTAATTGTAATTATAATTAATTTTGATGAACATTCCCTCTTACATTCTCTGTAGACTCCCAGACACGTAATCATAGTGCTTTGTTAGCTGAACTAATAATTCAATATATTTATAGTTTTCTGAAAATAGATAGATTGTTAAAATACAAGTTTTATTAGCAATTAATGCCATTTTTATTTTTCAGAGACTAAGTAATGACCACATTTGCTACTTTCTCTATCAAATCCTTAGAGGGCTGAAGTATATTCATTCTGCAAATGTTCTACACAGAGATTTGAAACCCAGTAACCTTCTTTTAAACACTACATGTGATTTAAAGGTATTTTTATTTTAAAATATTATGTCTAATAAAGCTAAGTTTTGTTTCTTTTGTCTATTCAACGATTGCTTTTAAATAACTAAGCAAAATAATTAATTGTATGTAAAATATATATTAAACATGCAAACGCTAATATCAGGATTCAGTACAATATAGAATTGGGTTTACATAATATTAACTTAAAATATATTACACTGAAAATAATATTCCCACCACAGACCACAGGTTTCAGGCTAATACAATTTCAAACTTAATAACACTTAAAGAATGCCTAATATGCCGAATGATATACTGTATGCTGTATGATGAAATTTGTTCCATAGATGTACAATATTCACAACATAATGATTAAAGTAATTAAACTATAAACTAAAACTCTAAAGGAAATATATGAACCTTACAATTTATCAAGAATAAATTATAAAGAAAGTTTATATTCCTTTTATGTTTTAGATTTGCGACTTTGGTCTTGCAAGAGTAGCTGATCCAGATCATGACCATACTGGTTTTCTTACTGAATATGTTGCTACTCGTTGGTATAGAGCCCCTGAGATAATGTTGAACTCTAAGGTAATCACGTTATAATCATAAGATCATTTCATTATTGTTTATTTTTTATTTTATATTCTCTCTCAAATTTACAGATGATTGATCTTTTTATCAACTTTTTAGGGCTATACGAAATCTATTGATATTTGGTCAGTCGGTTGTATCCTAGCAGAGATGCTATCCAACCGCCCTATATTCCCTGGAAAACACTATTTGGATCAGTTAAACCACATTCTTGGTGTACTTGGTTCACCGACACATGAAGATTTGGAATGCATTATTAATGAAAAGGTAAATTATTTTAAATAAGAAATGAAGATGAGAAATTTTTGGCTGTTCATTCCTATAAGAGCAGTTGGTTGGGGGTTGCTATCTATCATTTGAACTATACAAAATTTACAAATTGTACAATACAAAATTATATTTATTTTCTTTGTGCCGATATTTTGGTCTGTGTTTCAAGCCTTCATCAGGGCTAAGCAAAGAACAGTTAACAAATAAATACTAGAAAAAGAAATAATATAGAGATAATAATAGATAGAAAAGAAATAAAATATACAGAATAATATACAGTAATGATAATAATGTGTAGGTAAAATGGTTAGCAAAATAATATGTAGGTAGTTAAACATAAATAAGATAAGTTTAAATATAAATAAGCTTATAATTCTTTAGGACATCGTAACATTTAAATATGCATATCTCGTTCATACTATAGACCTGAGATTCTTGAAAGAACTATGAAAAGCTTACTGAAGCTATCAACAAAGCTTTTGAAAAAAACTTCAGCATCAAATTTGTAAACTTTTGCACATCGAAAATCTTAACTAAGGATGCATGAGATTCAGAAATGGAAACAAAATATTCTACTGATATTGGTTCATTATGCATTAACTGTTCTACATATTTCCTGAAATGATTATTCGTTGATAGATTCAAACCACTTAGTTATCTGCATAATTAATCATTAAATATCAATTATGAAACTGTTTGATGAAGCTTATCAATTATTTGTTTTCATAGTTGAAGGAAAACTAGGAGGACTTTAGTTTTCTTTATTATATTGTTAAAACTTGATGAAGACAGGAATGAATCAAGGGATATAAATAATTACAGAGGGTCCCAAGTTTTAAATATTTAAAACATTAAAATATCTCAACTTATAACATGTAAGATAACATGTATTCAGTAAAATATAAATCACTGATATATCCCCTGAGAATACTTATTATCCAGTTACTTTTTATTCTTACAGTTTTTCAGAATCTAATTTAAACTTTGAATGCTTTCAGCATTAGAAGAATCATAGTTAGATAATGGAAAAAAAGGGTTCAAATATCTTTCAGATTTCTAAAAGCAAAACATTTTTTTAATTTTTTATTATATATTGTTATAAATAGTATATTGTTATGCTAAAGAGGTCTTTTAGAGTAGAAATATATTTTATTATTTTAATGAATTAAATTTGTTGAAAAACTGATATTGTCCTCAGGCACGAAGTTACCTTCAGTCGCTGCCTTACAAGCCTAAAGTGCCATGGACGAAACTGTTCCCTAATGCTGACCCAAAAGCTCTTGATCTCCTCGACAAGATGCTCACTTTTAATCCTCACAATAGGATAGTTGTAGATGACGCCCTGGCTCATCCATATTTAGAGCAGTATTACGACCCTGCTGATGAGGTAAGTTATCAAGTTGGCTCACTTGTTTAATGATTTTTCTAAAACTCTCTAACAGTGACTCTACTTTGCAAGGTAATTTTTACCTTGTAACACAAGTCCACTTCCTAAGTCTGTGTTGATTGTGTTTTGTAGCCTGTTGCTGAGGAACCATTCAGATTCGCTATGGAACTTGACGATTTACCAAAGGAAACACTGAAGGAATTCATTTTTGAAGAAACAGTACTATTTAAACAAAGGAATCCAAATATTTAGTTTGGTTAGACTTTACTTTTTAACATCTTTTAATTAGACACTAAGTGCTCATATGCTACTTTTTTCTTTAATTAATTTAAAATTTCTTCGTTTTAGAAAAGCAGTAAATAAATTTTGTTCAGTTTTGAAATTGTATCCAATCAAATCTTTTTTGTAAAATGTATCTTGATGTTCATTTCATTCTACAATGTGAGTGATTTTAAAGGCCTAAGTAGTTAACAAGGAAGGAAATTGCTATTCTTAAGGTCCATAAATCTGAGTTATTAATTTTTTTTAATTATAGCCAACATTCCTGTTTAGATTTAAATAAAATCACAATTGTTATTTCAAATAAGAGGTCTTGTCAGTATTAATGTTCTGTTTTACAATTTAGTTATGAAAATTAATTAAAAATTAAATATATATATATATTATACAAAACCCTGAGGCAGAGATTAGTTAGAAAAGATAAGAAATGAATCTTTTAGAATGTTAATATTTTGTCTTAACATTTGACTATTTGTCAACTAATTATTTTTTTACATTTAATGTAAATTAAAAAAAAAAGACAAAAAAACTTCAGATTTATTTGCAAAATGTTAGACATATTGGAGTTTGTGGTTAATTCAATGAAGGATTTTAAATACTTTGTATACCAAAATTTGAGGCCCCTCGCATAGAGTTTTTGTTTTTCATTACAGATTGGACTATTTGTGAAGTCTTTGTATTAAACTCCTACTTGGTTGAGATCATTCAATCATATTTAAATTTTCTTGCTTATTATAAATGTATTTGCTATGATTATAAATTTTATTCATGAATATGTAGTGTTTTTTCTTTTGAATTGTATTTCATCAATTAATTGCTCTGCCTCAAGAATTTAATTTAGAAAATTAAATGTTGCTTGGAAATTTATTAGGATACTTAACAACTATTAAATCGAAACTCTTTGAGTTTATAAGTGCTGTATTAGACTTGACATTTTATTTTAATGTCTTTTGTTGTGAATAATTTTTTTTTTTATTTTTTAAATATTAATGTTGGTAATTTCTTAAGTGCTCTATGCTTTCTAAGACAATTTGAATTGTTTAACTAACTTTATACAGTAAATATATTACATTTTTATTTTATAGCCATCATATCTTTGTTGATTCTTTGATTATCACAGAAGGAGTAGTACTAATAATTTCTCTTCACTACTCATTTAATTATTTATATTCAAATTACTCTGATTAATACAAGTTTTTCGACCCTTACTTGAAGATTTATCTAATAGGTTTGATATTTTCTTTGATTTAATGTAAAATACGTAAAAACATTAAATTATTTTTTTGGCATCCAGCACTTAAAACAGACGTGTAACAACACAAATTATTCACAATTATATGAGCATCTTATTATTTTTCTGTTATATATTTTATTATTGTAATGCATTATTTTATTTATAGATTTTAAACTAGAATCACATTATACTTTTAAGATGATTTACTGTGATTTATTGTTTAGATTTATTGTATAAATTTGCTGAAGACGATTTTTGTTATTGGTAATTGGTAGCATCATAGTTCTAAGTTTAGTTAAATCATTTGTTAATTGTCTTGTTGTTTTTATTTGGAGCCTTTGAAACTAAATAATGTGAAAATATCGAATTTCCAAAAAAACACATATGAAAATGAGATTTGATAGTTAATTAATAATTTGCCTCCAAGCACATTTGAGCTGTAAGTGCTGTTTAGTGTCAATGATTCACTTTTTTGTTCTTTCTTTTTTGTTCCTGATAAATTATTTTTTATTTTATTCTATTTGTTGATTTTATATCGTGTTTATTTAAGGCTAATGGAGGTTGCACCTATAGTATATATATTGAGTTTGATTGGTAAAATGAAATGTTTGAAGATTATTTTTGTGAATTGATTTATAGTTGCAAATATGTATTGTTTATACTGATTTATGTATATTATTATAGTTTGTAAATATTTTCTGAATATCTTGTTGTAATTGTTTATATATTCACCATTTAAACTTATTCACTAATCATGTATAACTATTTTATTTATACTTTAACTTTTAAAACTAGGATGCTGAAAGTAATGAAGTTTAAAAACAAAACAATTTATGTGCATGCAAGACTTGGGTTTTTTGTTATATTTTTATGGGTAGAAATCATCATAGCTTCCTTTAGTTTTGTTTTTTTTCTCTTTGACTGAGCTGATGAGATATTTATCTGTTAAAGTTTTATTTTACTTCATATTTGCTAATATTTTACTCTGTGGGTGGGTTTAAAATTTAGTATTTACCCTTTTTACTTGCTGATAAGAAACATTCTAACAATTTTTAAGTATGAAAATAATTTTTGTGTTTTAGATAATTAAAGATAAACAATAATGAAATAAATGTATGCATCTAAAGTAATGCTATGATATAAATATATAGTTCAGACTTAAAATCTGGTTTTATAGTTTTCGTTTGGTCCCTTCTTCTTATCATATATCTTGAATTTTACCTAACTACCTGATTATTCATTAATTTTTATTTTATTACAACCCCAGTTTCTATAATTTTATATCTGCAACTATTATTTATAAATTGCTTGGGCCTAACTCCAATTTTTTCTTTATCAAGAAATGATTCATTAATTCAAGTATTTTATTCAAAAGATAAAAATACCTTGTTTCATCATTGCCTTAAATCAGAAACGAAAAGTTTTCTATTTGAGTCAATTCGTGTTGATTGGTTGTGTGTTTTATTTTTACTGTACCATTTTTTAAGTCAATAAATATTCCATTAAGCACTCCAGTTAATAAACTTTGTAAAATGAAGTCTCTTTCGAGGCTGTGATATTCTTAACTTGAACGAATTCAAGTTCAAGAAATATTTATCTTAATTATTGTTGTAATTTACACTCTTGTTGTTGAAATTAGTTGAATGTGTAAACAAATACTATGTTTTTGTGTATTAAAGTTGTATACGTTGTAATGTATTTGAATACTATAACATAGATTTTTGTCAAAAGTTTAAATCAAGTAGTATTTGTCTCACAAATCATGATAAATGGAGTAACAATTAATTATTTTTACTTATAAATACATTGCACTTTTGCATGGTTGTATTGCTGGTAGAAAAATATAGCAATTTATACTGAGATAATAGACTACTGTGAATATGTTAATATCAGGTTTTTAAAAACAAAAATAATCTGCGTTAGATGTCACCATTCAATGTCTATGTACTATACATACCGAATTTTTATGCTGTAAGAAGCTCTGAAACATGGAGCTAAAAGTGTTGATGTTAAAATATGCAGTTTTTAATGTCATGTTATCATTTCAATTCCTAGTTGAAAGAATAGCAAATTGAAAATTTTAAAAATCCAAAATGGTAACTATAAATCAATGTGAGTTGTTCATGCAAGGAAGAAAACATAATTTTTTTTTTAACCAAATGAGTAATTAAAACTTTTTTATTTTCAATAATCAAATAAGGAAAAATGCAGGATTAAACAAGATTAATCCTTAAGGGTAACCCTTTAGCACTTAGAGGCATACACCATAGGCAGGTCATCCTGAACTAGCTCAGCTATGTTCTTGATTCAAGTTGCAGAATTTTCAGTGGCCTAGCATGTAGGTCACCCACCAATTGAATTCCCAATGTTTTATTTTTATCACTGTTTATATAATATTGATTAAATCAATTGAATCATCTGTGTTAGCTCACTTTCCATTTTGATTCAACTCAATATCAAAATATGGCTTATCATTAAGGTCATATTCCATTCCACCTTGACTTAAATTTGTATTAAACACATATAGCTGCCGATTTTAGTCTATCAGAAGGGCCACTAAATGTTACCATCAAATTTAGTTTTTAAGGCTCTGAATGTTAAAGGGTTAAAACCAATTTTAACAAAAATAAGAACTTTTACAAATGATTTAGAAAATGTTTGGTTTCTTGAAAAAAAAGCACATGGTAAACTGAATACATGATAGCATAAAAATCTGGTGTCTGATATTCACCAAATTAACAAAATCAAAGAAAATTGCTAATGATAAATATATTTAATCAAATTTGTTTTCATATGATAAGATAGTTTAACTGGGCAATAATCTGGTGATTTAAAGAGTTTTTAGGGTCCATCCTATCAACTATATTTCTTATAAATTAATTTTAGTAAATAGTGTTCATGAAAAGTTTTTTTTTTAAAAATAATGTTTTATATTACCAATTAATTTTTGTATTAATTTAACTCAGTTCAAGATATTTCAGTCATTTTGAAATTCGAAAAAATATTTCCATAATAAACTAATTAAATTTGATTAAACTTAAATAAAGTGCACTTGATATGTATATTGACATCATTATTTCAGAAAAATTGCTTTTATACAAGTTCACTTTTTTTCATCAATTGTTAGGTACTTATTGATTTTAAAATGGAAAAAGTTTGTTCAATTATGTCTGGACAGTCAATTATATGAAGTTCCCTGGTGTGTGTAAATAAGATTTTTGTATTTCTAGTATGCATCCCTGTTATTATCAAAAGAACAAACAACTTTTTTTGAATAAATAATACTAAATTTAGATGATTTTAATTTAAATTATGCCTTTTAATGGGTTAAGAAATAACCTATTGAAATTCACATTCAGGGATAATTGTAGTAAACAAGATGCCATATTTCATGTTCCAAATCAATTATTTTTGTATATTTTTTGTAAATATTCAGACATAAAAATTTAGTTTACTTTTTCTTAAATATAATTCTATAGTAATTTCTGTTTTATTTGCTTAGCTGTACCTGATATACCACTTGTTTACTTCTTGTACTTATTACATTCTTTCGTAGATTTGTATTCAATATTCACAATTTACACTCCCAGATTAAAGTCATTAGAAATCTTTACTATATCTTTACTACATGTATATGTTTAAAGTCAACTTTTAATATGTATTGTGTACATTATGTATAGGTATTACATTTTAAATTAAGGAAGTTAATAAATAATATAATCGCTGCTTGCTCAGCAATATTGTTATCACATTTACACATATTTTGATAAATAAAAAATAGTCTTTCGATTTTATTAAATATGTATTTGATAATGATAATTCATGTTATATACTAGTATTTATATTTACCATTAACATTTGGCCATTCAGGAATATTTCAGTGAGTTTTCCTAGAAATCCTTTATGTTTATATACTGATTATTATTTTGTAGTTTTAAACATTGCCAATAGCACATTTCATGTCTGTGATTCAGTATTGTCAAATTGTCATTTATAACATTTTCCTAAATATTCTATAAATATATATTAAAGATATATAAATAATCCATAATTTCTTTTTCCTGTAAAATAAAATTGATGGGATATTGAAAAAGATTTATATTACCAAACCTCATTTACTTTTATTTTATTTTACTTCCCATGATAGAAGTAGCCATCCCATGAATAATAATTCTATTGATGGTAATTTTTGTAATACAAATAATTGAAATACCATAAAATGGGATGATTGTGGTACATTTTTTTGATTGCCTTAATTTTACTGATAAGGCATATTACCATGGATGGCTTTAATTCCTAGATCATTGACCTTGGTTTCAATCAATAAATTTTGTTTTCCACTACTACATTAAATTACATTATCCGGCTCTACAGTCCAATATAAACCTTGTCCTCACAATTTGTCTCCAGCCATCTCAATCCAGCACTCTCCTACTTCGCGCAGTAACTCCAAGTTTAGTCAAATCCTACTCCCCTCCCCATCCTTCAGCCAGTTTGTTCTGGGGTCTTCCCTTCTTCTTTTACTTTGGAAATCCTTCTTCTTCATCTGCCATTCTGGCAACCTTTCAACATGCCCAAGCCAACTAAGCCTTCTCGATTTAAGAATTGTGACTATCCTATTCTGCTCCATAGCACACCACCAGTCTTCTCAGAGACTTGTATATTTTCAACTTTGTGTGGTCAGAAGGTTTGATTTTATCAGTTTCTGAAGGCCAAAGTAGGCTCTGATTCCAGCCATGATTCTACTTTTAATTTTGTCACTTCCCTTGTTCTCGCAGTTTAATTCCACTCCAAGGTAGGTGAATCGATCAACACCTTCAAAGCAATATTTACCCACGACTAAATCGTGTGGTCTTCATCTGATTGTGGAAGCATATAATACCATATATTTGGTTTTGGCTTCATTAATCACTAGTCCGACTTATCTGATTTCATTATCCAATTCAACTAGCAATTATTTTAAAGCACTTTCGCTTCTGCCCAATACCACATCATCCGCATACCAACAATCTGCACCTTACAAGGTTACCACTTGGAATAATTTTTCCCACAGCTTTATGGGGAATAAGTTGAATAGTATAGCTGATACGGCATCTTCCTTCGTATCTTACTCCACTTTCATATGTGATTTTGCAATTGGTTTGATTTCCAATGAGGACACTCGCTTCTGTTTGAGCCATTGTCATTCTAATCAAATTGGTTAACTTATAAGTAATGCTATAATGTTTGAGAGTTTGATAAAGCTGGATCCTGCCAACTCCATCAAAAGCCTGTTTATAATCCACAAAAAGCAACTGGACATCAGTATTATGCTCATATAGCATTTTTCCAATATCAATTTCACTAGAAAGATTTGATCCGTAGTCCGTAGTATAAGGAGTAGATATCTTTAGCTTTTCCACTATCAGCCTTGACAGAATTTTGTAGGCTACATTCCTCTATAATTTTGGCATTGGGTCTCATCACTTTTTTTAAAGAGCACCAACTGGTTGCCTTTCCTCATTTTTCCAGATGCTATAAATTAAATCATTCATTCTTTGATGCAGCAAATCTCCGCTGTTTTAAGGATCTCACAGGGAATATTATCTTTTCCAGGGGTGATTATTTCTTAGTGAATCTAGGACATCTTCAAAATCCTCATAGCAGGGTGATTCACAAACAGGATTCCTCCTAATGTCTAATCCATTGTGCTTTATTTTGAGCTGGGCCGTCCTCATTAAGATTTTCCTCAAAATGTTCTCCCCATATATTTATGAATTTTACATTTTCTCCATTCATCGTTCCATTTTGATCGCAGCATACGTTCAACTGTGATTGAAACTCATTTCTCGTTTGCATGAGTACCTGGTAAAATTTTCTTTCCTCTTTGTCCTTCCATAGCTTCAACCACTTCCTCTTCTTTCTATTTAAGTTGGTCGTTTTCTTGATATTTTTTGCTATTACCTCTTGTATCTATCTGCAATATTGTTTTCCTCTACTAGCTTATGAATAATTGAACGAATTCTTAAACTTATTGATGAATCCATGGAAATTTGGCAGATTCCTCTATTTATCGAATGTATCATTGATGGTTCAACCTTTTGAGGTTGATGGATCAGCTAATTATATCTCAATTTCACTTAAATTATTTTAATTTCATTACCTATTTCTCTTTTGAAATTCAATAGGTAAAATTTCCATATCTTTAATTTTTCATGTTTTGTAACCTTCCAGGCATCCTGAGCTTTTTATCCAGTTTGAAAAACCTCTTCCTCCTCCTTTGTTTGATTGTCGACTAGTATATTTTTACAGCAAGAACGCGGCAACTGTAATTACAGTTTTTTTGTATCCTTTCTTCCTCCCGTTTCCTGAGTTAGTTTTTAACAGCTCTGCAGGTATGGTATCCATCCCTGGGGACTTCTTAAATGTCTGGAGTAATTTCCACACATGGAATATCAACCTCTTGTGGATATTGTCCTCAGTGTGGTTCATTTCTTCTGTAGGTAGGTTTTCCTCAATTTAGTAGTTGTTGGAAACGTTCTTTACAGATGCTTAACATCTTATCATTCAACATCATCATTTAGTATGTGTCTCGCTTTATACCATCCTTACTTTCAAGACTGGTGTGAAATTCGCATGTTTCCAACCTGTAAATTGTATTCAGTGGTTTGCGGTATTTCTTTTACCTTTATTTACCCTTCTTGATTTTTGTTTTCCACATATATCAGATTAGTTCCATGTCTGAATTTTTTTGTACTAGCCCTACCTCTTAACGACTTCTTCAGCTCAATTTTGAATCATGTTTCATACCTCTTCAGTATGTCCAGTACCTCTCCAAAAAATTCCCATTTCTTGCTTGATATCAAATAAATACAAAAAGTTACAAAACTTAAAAAATTGTTTCTGGCAATTAATTATTGCACTAGTACGGACTTGTTTGCACATTCAAAATAATATACCAAGAAAGTTTCTGTAACAAATATTCTGTCAACATTTCCTATTGGTAATTCTATTTGATCAATTTTCTACTTTTTGTTTTTTTCTTTGCCTCAGATAATTAGGACTGTTGAAAATCATATTAATATTAATAAAATACTGCAGTGGCTACTAGGAGAGATGCAGGATCCTTTAAGGTTTATTTAGGTAGTTTAATAGGTAACACTATAAGTTGCAGGAGAACAAATAAAGAAATCGTTGCTATCTAGAACCCATTAATTTATTTTTCTAAAACAACTCCAAAGGCATCAGCCTCTGGTTATCATTTTATAGATTTGTTACTTTTTTTCCAAACATTACCAAATTTATGAATTTCAGAAATTATTATTAGATTAACTTCCATTCTATAATATGCTTCATATTTTTTATATCAGAGATATGGGTGCTTTAAAAATCTGTATTAAATTATGGACCATGGCATAATTTTTCTTTGCAACTACATATAGATGACAAAAATGATTATTTTGATTCATTTCACAGTTATTTTGAGTTAGAAATTTTTGAAACAGGCTATCAAGGCGAATGAGCTTGTGTTCACTATATGGTGGAATGGTACAAATGAAAGCCAAATTGTTGGTTCGGTATAACTTGCTTTCTAGGTTTGTCTTATCTTATGAACAAACAGTTTCTCGAATATGTTTCTCATTATAGATAGAAGTGCAATAGGTTAATAAGATGAAGGAATGAGTTGTGGGTAGTATAATAAAAAATATAACTATAAATACAAAATTCTTTATTTCATGTTTTTTTTTTTCTTTCATAAAGGTATGATAGTAGTTGACATAGAATGAAAAGGGGGAAATTGGAATAAAAAATCATAACAACATGAAAGAAAACAATACAAAAGGAAAAACAATTTCCTTTTAAATTATTAAGTTAGATATTTACATTTAAAAGCTCCTAAGGCTTGTCAGAAATATAAGAAAAAAAATCCATTCAGTCTAAATTATTGAATACATAATAAAACCAATTATTAATTATAAAATTCTTATTTTATTACTAATTAAATTTAAAACACTCATGCTTTAAAAGGGTGCTTGAAACTTGATATTAAACTCCCTTTCTAGTTTCTTATATATCTATGAAACAGAGGTTGACCCATATACTAAAAATATATCTAAACAGTTTAAGAAAAAGTTCAGTAATATAATAAATTAGTATGGGCGACTCCGATCTCTTCCTCCCCTCCTGTAACACAAAATTAACAATTTATAAAATTAGGATGATATAACTAATTAAAAGTAAAGAGTATAGATAATGTATTATAATAGAGATGACTTCTGACTTACCACGGAAGAATTATCTTTGTTTATTATTACCATATAAGTAGGTAGTTTTTAGGTTTGAAATTAACTCCACAGGGAGGAAATATATATGCATCTATACTTAGACATTTTATTGTAATGTCCACCGAAAACTCTTTTATTTACTCATACATTATCAGGTCGTTGTCATTTTTGGAAAAATTCCAGGTCATTAAAATAGTTAAATGGAACATAAATGATCATTATTATTGGATTAGTTTGCCCATGTGAATAATTTGCACAGTATATTGTTCAATGATCAAATGACAAATTAATAAGAAAATAAAACAATGCAACATATCATAAGATTTTATGAGTTAATTTAAATTTCTTTTCTTCCAAAACTTTTGTGCCTGAATTTTTGGGGTGATGGGACGATTTTTCCCACCTGAAGGAGAAGGAAATCTAAATGGATGGCTTAATCTTGGGATTTGATGAATAATATAAACTTCTCTCATTGATCATATGGACCTCAAGTATATGAAATGAGACATGTATTACATGACAGTACTACAATTAACGTAAGGTTGTGTGGATGACAACCCTTTGTTTTTACATTATCTTTAAAAGTTTTTGGGCATGAAAACGTAGGGTCCGATTATTCCGAAAGAACTAGCTGGGTCTGGTGTACGCAATTAAATTTTCAAAACCTAATTTGTTCCTTATAAAATTTATGTTATATAAGTCTGTAACATAGCTAACAAAAACTAAATAAACTTTGGCATACAAATAAGAATATCAAAGCACTCTTTGGTACAGTTCTTCTGAATTTTGAACTTGAAAACATTGACATGAAAAACATATTTTTCATCATTATGAACACATTAGACATTATTATTATAGAAAATTTGTACGATTGCAATACTTCCTCTTTCTATATAGGCAAGTGAAAATAAAAGAGGGCACTCTTAGAAAATATGAGTGTTGGCAATTTGATAGTAGTAGTTATAGTAGTAATACTATAATTTTTTATCATATATTTTTTCAATAAAAATTATTTACAAAATGGAGGGTTTTATAATATATAATCAAATATGGCAAATCAATGTTTGCATTTAAAATATTCATATTACATACATGAATGTTACAAATTATCAGACACAGTTAAAATGATTAGAAAGATCACTAAAAACCAGGACTTGAAATGAAATTTTGATTTTTAATAGTTTCGGTATGACTAGAATCATAATTAAAAAAAAAAAATCAGAACTAGAAGGTTTTGTTTTCACTTTTAAATTAAAAATTTTAAAGAGCTTTTACTAAAAAAAAAAAAAGGTTTTTCTAAAGTTCTGTCGATTTAGCCAAAAATTTAATCTAAAAAATTACTTATATTCTTAGCAACCCAAACAAACAACACATTAGAATCAAATATTTGATAAAAAATGAAATGGACATAGTTTAAAACCAATTTATATAAATTTAAAATTTATCCAAAAAGTAACAATTTATTTAATTATTTTTTTCTCCAGATTTTCAATAAATAAAATGTAAATTTTTTAAGAAGCCTTAACCCCTGATTAAAAGACAACCTACCCTTGTCCTCTCATTGGTCCACCTCCTCTACCTCGACCTCTGTCCATTCCACCACCACCGCCTCCGCCACGGCCGAATCCACCTCCTCCAAAACCTCCTCTTCCACCTCGTCCTCTTCCTCCATCCATGCCACCTCTGCGACCTGTCATCAATGTAAAATATAATCAATTACTTAGAAGAAATGATATTGAGAAAATAAAATATCATTATTGAAGGTAGAAAATTAATTTTCTATTTAAGGATTCAATCGTTACCTCCACCTCCGCCACCACCAGGTGGTGGTGGGGGCCCTTCTCCACCTCCACCTCCCCCTTGAGGTTTGTCAGCATTGCACCTATTACATTGTTGTCTCCAGGCAAAGTTTGTGTTTCCACATTCAGGATTGGTACACTTCCAGTCACCGTCTCTTCCACTTCCACCTATCATCAGGACAAAAATAAAATAAAGGACATAAATGGAATTAGAGATATTACATATTTCATTTCCAGATGTGCTATTTAATTTATTGACCTACCTCCTCCTGATGGTGGACCGCCAGGGCCTCCGCCCCTGGGGCCGCCTCTACCCCCACGCCCGCCTCCTCTGTGTTCTCCAAAGCCTCCGTCTCGGCCACCTCCTGGGCCACCGCCACCACCACCGCCGCCTCCGCCACCACCACCCCCTCTTCCGCCACCTCCACCTCCACCTCCACCTCCACCTCCTCCTCCTCTACCGCCACCTCGTCCTCCCATGTAGTTGTCTCTCTTAGTTGCCATTTGCACTTTTATAGTAGCACCATTAAATTCCTTGTCTGAAAAAAAAAGAAGGGAAATTAGAATAGGAATTCACTTTTAATTGACTGAAATCGGATGTTACAAAAACATATCTAAAATTATAATTTTTAGGTGACTTTATACAACTCAAAATGCAGTAGAAAAAATTTAATGTGGTGCATGTATCAAATAAACTTTCACTTAACACTCAACTTCGAGAAGAAATAGTTATTTTCATAAGTACAGAAGTGAAATAAAAAATTATAAATGATATAACATTCATTTAAAAACATTAAAGGAAATAAATATACAAATGTTAAAAGATAAATCCTTGTGACTAGAATTTTTTTTATATCCTCACAATCTTACTTGAAATTAAGTGTACATGAAATATGAAAACAATTTAACTAACAATAGAAAAGCAGTGTACAGCAATCCTCAGGTCGTGGAGGCAAAAGGAGGGTTCTGTTGTCAACGAAAAGATGTTCCAAGTTGGTTCAGAAGATGCCTAATAGGATTGAGGTCTGGGCTGCTAACTGGGCACTCAACCTCATCTAGGTAACCCCACATATTTGCGATGTCGGACATTATCCTGCATGAAAATGAAACAGGGGCCGATAAATCGGCCAAAATCAAGGATGTAGATCTTTGTATGCACATTGAGAGTTGGCTTTCAGAATGTGTGGAGGTCTGTACTTGCCTCTAAGCATATTCTATTCTAAACCATCACCAACCCACCCTTGAACCAACCACTCTTGCCGTTATTTTGTACTGAGCATATCGCTCACCCTAACGTGCAGGTTGAATTCAGCAAGCCTTCTCATTTTGTTAGAGCGCTGACGTTCGCACCCTAAGCAATATGCATTCGGTGATAGGTCTTAACTGAAGTCTGGTAGCGGTTTAAGAGGGTCTGCATATCAATGAACTGGTTATCAGCTGGACTTATCGCTGTTAGATGGTTTGATCACGGCCTCTTAGCATAGATTCCTGTCTCCTGATAGCACGGGACTACCTGCCTAACTGTTGTTTCAGGCAGCCCATGGACTATGGCCGCATATAACTAACTTCAGCTGTCCTCGATAAACACAATAATCCGCACCAGTATGCCAGTTTTTGAGAAAATTGTAAACATGTGTAAATTCAATGATATAAAATACTAATTTGTTAAGATGACTTTGGTGAAAAAACTGCAGTAATATTCCAAGCATTTACCTACCTTAAATATAAATAAATACATAATTTCAGTTTGGTATGAATTTTCATTTTTAATCTAGGCTGTTTACACTCAGCCTCAAACTTCTGGGCTGATATTATAGTACAGTTGGAAAGAACCATAGATGCAGTACACAGGTTTGATTATGAAAGGGATTAATGTCTAAAAGTGTGCCCATTCAACTAATCTTAACGCTGAGCAAGAAATGTCATATTTCGTTATAAGATGAAAGTTTAAGTAAAATAAAAAAGATATAATTGGATTAAAATTATATTCTAAAATGGCACTTACTGTCAAACCATTTAATCGCAGATCTGGCAGCATTTGAATCATCGTAAGTTACAGTTGCCTCTCCCTTCGGCAAACCAGTAGTCTTGTCGTTGTACATCCAAATTTTGGGCTTTCCACTCCTTTTGTCAATCTAAAGTAAATTGATGAGAAGCATTAGTTTTGAAAAATACGATCAAGAAGGAAGACTTAAAATAAGATAATTCACTATTTAATCAATTGAATCTTAAATTTGGAGTAAAACCCTGCTTACCATTCTCTTTAGACCATTATCATGGCAGTAAATATAAATAAAAGAGAGATAATAATTACCAACTTCAAGGGATTTAATAAAATTACAATCTGAGGTCCTTACAAACTCTGACATTGTGATTAGGAATGGAGGATTACTTATATCTTTTAGGTTCATTGTAACCAAGTTATTAACTTTTGACTAGGGATAAATAAAAAGTTTACTGTTTGTACTAGCATAATTACTTCATTAAAACAATGGTGCTATGAAAAAATCAATGCATTTTTCTTTGGATTCGATTATGGTTTGCTTCCACGAAGAGTTGGTAGTAATGAGGATTTACTGTATAATCTTTTTTTATTTTAAATTAAGTGATTAATACTATTTCTTGATTTTTGTTTACTACCACTAACGGTCTACACAGATGGGAGAAGTTGCTTTATTAACAAATTTTATGATAATCAGTTGTTAGGCCTCCGAGTTATTTTTCTTCCTTACTAGCGAAGACACGGAGCTTTGTATTGAAGCAGAAACTGAAAATGATGCCAGTCCTCAGACTAGCATTTCATGTTTTAGACATCAAGAAACACAAATTTGTTTGCATTCTTGTCAGTAGTAAAATTCACATAGCAGTTACTACTGTTAATCTGATTTTCAGGAAATAATAAAATTATCAAATTTCATCCCTACTTTTTCTTCAACATGTGTAAAAATATTTAATTTTCTGTGACAAGCATACAGTTCAAAAACAGCTCGTTCTATTATTTCATTATTTTTAACAAATCATTAATCTTGGAATATACGTATACAATAAAAATGGTGAGTAAGCTTTTCTAACCCAATCTGGCAGATATTTATAAACGTTTTAAATTGCGAATTAAATAATATGTATTATGAATTAGTTTTAAACTGCATTTAACCTATATTGTAGACGTAGGGACTAGCAATTTTATCATTAAACTGCATTTAACCTATATTGTAGACGTAGGGACTAGCAATTTTATCATTATAACCAGTAAACTGTGTAATCAAGAAAAAATATATATAAAAAAAAAAAAAAAAAACCTGTACCACTACAACCCATGAAGGGTCTTGGATTCAGTACTATTTAGGAAAAGCAGTGTTTCTAGGTCAACGGTTGTGCAAGGAGGTGATTTGAACGAGATCACGCTCAGCCGCATGGTTTTCTCCCTTAACCAATTATGTAATTAAGAGTAGCCACTTTATAGAGGCTGGGTGTGCCCCAGGAGGGTATCCCGACCCCACGGCCAATGAAACACATAAATATATTTTCTACCATGAACCGGGGTTCGAACCTGGGACCTTTAGTATTGGAAGCATAGTACCCTACCACTGAGTTACACCACTCCCACTGAAAAAATATTAGTCAATAAAATAATGAAAAATCAAAAACTGAAACTTAGTAATTGCAAATGGATGCTAGGCACCATTATATTTCTGGAAGTATTACCGGCTCTTACTACTATCTTTTTACCTTATTTTATTGTTTCCATCCTCCTTTATGATTCGGGCTGTAGCCCAACACTCGCAGAGTTAAAACTTTTTCATTTCTTGTTTATTTTATTTTTATAACGCTCAAATATTTATTTAATAAATTAATTTCAAATGGTATACATCAAAAACGTTTACCAGTACAAAGAAAAACTTCACAATTGTGACATTATAGCTAGGTTTCGTGCTGAATATTTGTTTATATTATATTTCTTTCGGGAGTAGTAATGAATTCAGCAGCTTCCACAGCAATAAACTACTGTTCCTCCATTTTAAAGAAAATAAAAAATAAAAAAAAGGGCTTTCTTTTAATTTAAAAAAATAAATTCTATATTCTAATCTTATTTCAAACTAAAATAACTAGATTAAACTATTTTTTTTTTTTTTTTATTTCAATGGAATTTACAACTGTATTACATAGAGAATACAATAAGTAAATGAGAAATTTGTAACATGGCATGTACAACATGAAGAGAAACTACCCATTGGTAGAACTCAGATTAAACTAAATAACATCTTTATAAACTCGGAGTAGTTGAGCACATGGTTGTTTCAAACAGAACACAAAGATAAGAATAAAAATGGTCGACACAGTCAGAGAAAGGCGGTAACATATAAGTCACCCATAACGGTTCATGAATTAAATAAAAAAAAAAAAAAAAAAGAAGCTTCAAAATAAGCCATCTGTAGGCTCTAGTTAAAGCTATATTTCACTACGAAACCAATAGTAGCTAGGTCACTGCGGCTATACTCTACAATAGCAGTGAGGACAAGGGTGGGACACACTGGCTATATATATAGCCATCATTAATTAGCAACAGGGGCACATTCAATATAGCTGTCGTTGGAAGTTAAAGGGTTAAAATAGGTTCATAACAAAACAGGATTGGTCCCATAGTCATTGAGGTGGCACTTCATCATTTAAAAATGGGAAGAGCTTACAAGCTTCTGAAATTTAGTTTATGTGAAAACATTCAGTAACTAATATTTTTAACAAAGAAAGGAATTTGTGGTTAACTAAAAATAAAACAAAATTTTATAGCATTCAAAATTAAAATTTGAATGATGTAATACAATATTTTTTAATGAATAATTTAGTTGTACTTATATAATAACTAGCTGACCCATGTGAATACTTGGCATGGCATATTGGTGAACAAATGACAAAATAATAAGGGAATAAGTTAAGGCAGAGAGGAATCAATTCTCTTTTACTAGATAATTGTAATAGAGTAATAAAAAGAAAAATTATTTTATCTGAACTAACCTTAATGACACCAATTGCTCCAAAGTGTTGCTGTATGTCTCCTTCAGATGTGGCAGGGTTCATACCAGACACAAAAACCGTATCTTCCTGGACAATGTAATCACCCCCACCGTATCCACCTCCGCCACCACCTATGTCACAAAGAAAATTATATAATACATAGCAACAAATAAATAAAAGGCTTCACTAATAGAGATTGAGATATTTTGTCAGATTCAATGATTATTGTTTATTAACATTTTAATTTTAAAATAGTCAAACTGACAAAACTCCAATTTGAATACCAACACACAACGTACAATTTACAAACATACAGGAATCTGTACACTTTCAAATGCTCCTACATTGAGCTAATTTGGCAGGCAGCTTTTATCATTAATTGCTACTTTTGGATAGAGTAGTTATAATTACTATGCTACTAAAAATGTAATTAGTTCAACTAAAACACAGGTATTTTAACTCTGTTTAAGAGTAAACACCATAAACCATTAAAAGATTGAGCATAAAACTGATTTTTATAAAACTAAAACTCGTTTTTTTTTAAACTATTTCAAGTTTTTCATACACATCTGTCAGTATGACATAGAACATTTAAACTATATTTTTAAAATTGATTTGTAACCAATAATACTGCAGCCAAATTAGCCCTTAGACTACTAACAGATAAAACACTAACACAGCATGATGAACATTAAGAATAAACTAATAAACAAATAAACACAAATAAAACACTAAGTACAATCAGTAGACAGATTTCTTTCCACCGTGAGTTTTAAAAATGTGTTTTTAATACTATTATCTATCAAAGGAAATTATTTATATCATCATACTTCTATAATGTTAACCAGACCATAACACAAAAGGCATTGATGACTTAAAAGCATATCTTGTTTGTAACTGAAAACCTTGAGATCTTATTTAGTACACACTTTTATTAAATTACACCGGACAATAATTTTTCTCTTAATTAATTTTCTAATTGCAAAAGCAAGGAGCTATACCAATTTTTTTTTCTTCTGTCAATTAGATTCTTACCACATAATTTGTTAAAAAATAAGGCACGGAGCCTGAGAAATATAGATATGTAGCATGCCATATAGACAAACCTTATGTACAACCGATACCAATGCAAATATACATCTCTTGATTTTTCTATATCTAATTAATAATCCAATTTTTATACCCTTAACTTATTATGACCAACCCAGACCTTTTATACCCAATAAACACACTTTATACATCATGAAATAACTGTAGAAAAATAAAATAAAATAAGCAGGGCGAGAAAAAAAAAGAAAAAGAAGCAGCTGTATGACTAAGCTATAGGAATGAACACACAATACTGAAGAGTGCACATACATTTTAATGAGATTTCAGTCTCAGTACTGTACAGCTATATTAAGAGTTTAAAAATAAAATGTTTTGAAAAAAATTATTTATTTTTTGTTAACTGTTTATATCTACCCATGCTCTGCCAATTTTATAATACCATATATCCAGATAGCATTGCTTTCATAGACAACTATTAACAACCACCAAACCATTTATTATTATTATTATTATGTTAATAAAGAAAACCATTATTAACATTTTAAAAATGTCAGATTTTCTTATCCAAATCACGATGTCTAACTGTTCAGTTTATCTTAACTGAACATTCAGTATTTTTTTATTATTAATTATTAACCTTTACTACTCTTCATTAACTCTTGGTGTAATAAAATCTTTCCACTATAGAAGAAAATATATAAATTGTATAAAGTGATCTTTAAAAATTATAATATGTCAATTGGAAGATATTTATTCTATAAAATCTAGATAAAGAAATAAAACAAGTTGACGTTGATGGATTAAATTACAGTATCATCATCTATCAACAATTTTATAGATGTACACTCTAACTTAACAAAAAACGTTTTGACTTCCATTTGGTTAACAGAGGTAGGTAACCTTTTATGTACCTAGCACAACCCTGAGTTAACACAAAATGCAAATTATCTCTTACTTCTGCATACTTTTAAACTTAATAGAACCAAAAGGATTAACAAGCTACAAGATATTTTGATTTTTAAGGAGTAATCAAATAAAATAAAAATATCATCCAATGAACATACACATGAATACATTTTGAAACTATTAAAAAGTATAAATATACTATATCAATCAAATAGAAATGAGAATAGAAATTGTCAAAGTTTCAAAATGTATTTCATTTTAGTGATTTATCAACCATTAAAATTTCATAATAAAATTTTTAAATAATAGCACCAATTTTTATTGGTGCATTTACCTTTGTTATAACCACCTCGACCCCCACTGCTAAAACAGAAAGAAAAAAAAATGATGTAAGTGCGGTTGTTTCAAATCCAATTTTCTCCATTAACTTAGGAAGAAGTCTCCTCCCTCTTCTTCTTCTTTCAGTTAGTCATGTCCGTCAAAATTTTCCTTAAATATTTTCTCTAACAAGGTTGAATTTAAATCATTTTTAAATTAAAAAAAGAAAGGATTTAAAACAGACCGTCCCTAAATAATTCAAACATAATTAATAAATCAACTGAATAATAATTAAAAAACAATTTAAGTCACTTAGAATTTAACTATAAGCAATTGACACAAGATCATTCATGAAAAAAGAAACCTATTAATAATTTTGGGAATGTGGAACAGTTTTAATCATATATCATCCATAAAAAAAATTACTAAAAGCTAGCTAAAACCTGCCAACTTTAAGACTATTACAGAATTAAAAAAAGGACAGAAGATTCAGTTAGAGCACTTGGTGGTTGGAAACAAAATTAAAGCATTATACAAAGAAAACCATTATTAACATTTTAAAAATGTCAAATTTTCTAATGAAATCACTATGAGATAAGCAAACATTATGAATAGATAAGTTTGTATGGAATTGAACAGAACGAGAATACACAAACACAAAACGGTTTGCTATTGTGCTTAAAAGTTATAAAGAACAGCTATAAAATAAATGACTTCAAAATCACAGTACTCAGAATATAGCTCAACATTTTTTTAAAATGTATAAAGTTATATTTAAATAACTATTTACTTTTATTGATTAATAAAAGATAACATAACTATATTTATCTTTCATTATTTAAGACTCTGACAAATTTCATTGTTAATTGAGTACAAATAAAAGTTGAACGAGAAGTGCCATCAATGCGAACATTTGTCATTTTTATAAAGTTGACAAAAATTCAATTTTTATTTGTTAAACAGCTTCAATTTCAACAGATTTTGATCATTTTTAAGTTATGAGAATATCTGGTTCGTCCGCTTCACATGACATTCTGATTTCATAAAAAACTTCAACCTTAATAAATTTTTGTGGCAGAAAAGAAATAGTATTTGGACTATTTTATTGAAAAACTGAGCCAGCTAGCTTTAAAAATATTGAGCCGATTACAATGCTTTCCGTATCTTTTAGTATTATGAGTTTCCATTTTTTAATGAAGACCATACAACACTAATATGATAACATAAAGTATCACATACTTCCTACTATATGAAAATCAAGTAGTAGTATCAAATAGTAAAATCAAATTTGAGGAACCTTAATCTACAATCTTAGGCAAACTGTAAGACTCGGCCATGAATGTTTTGTTAAGGTTTGCTTTGATGTTAAATGCTGAATAATCTCAAAATAATGAGAATTAAATATTCTAGTTTTAAGCAACATAAGTGTCAAAACAAGTTGAGCAGCAGATGCCACACCACAACAATGCAATAGTAATTATAGAATTGTAAAAATATACCTTTGAAAACTACTTAATTGCTAGAACTTTACAATTCTTTAACAGGCACCTATCACACTTTAAGATGAAATTAAAAAATTCAAATACTAAGAATGGAACCATAACTATTTATATTAAAAAGTTTCAATTAGATATCTCTTCAAATTAAAAGAAACTACAACCAATTTTACAATTGAGAACTAGGGTGTCAGGTCAAAGAATACAAATACTTCAAAACAGTTTGTATTCTTTCAAAACTAATAAAAAATACCCTTTGCTAAGTAAAATAAAAACTCAGATCTTAAGAAATCAACAAATATACTCAATATTAAAAGAACAAATTAAACACATTTAATACTAAATGGCGGCAAAGATATGGCTAATATAAAATACCACTTGAGTACTGTAAATTAAGATACCATCAACTTGATTTGCAGGGCTGAGGACACCAACCATCATTATATTTACTCTTTCTTATATTTTTGATAATACCTGTGCACACTCAATACGATTACTTAATTATAGTAGAGATTGGAACAAAAAAAAATCATACAATTAAAAAATCCAACTAGCAAAAGAAAACCATTTATAAAAATAAATATGAAAAAATTAATAAATATTAAATCCCTTACTATCATCAATTCCATTTTCTTTATTTTTAAATTTTAATTTTGTCTATAACCATTTGGCAAGAGTCCTGTCAATAACATTCATAATACCTGTTAAAACACTTCAACCAGCGAATAATATTATAAATCAAATTTAAATAATCAAATTAAATTATCAACAACCATTAACATAAATGTAGAATTACTATTTGCAAATTGCAACAAATAAAATTTCATCAATTCAATATTTAAATTTATTATTATTATTATTTAACTCTATAAATAGCACTTATATATATTATCATTTAAATGTTTTATCCACTATGTCCAGTAAGAAAAGTTCTGCAACAATTGCAAATAGTAATAATAGAACATTTAGAAATACATAGAAGCAAATAATTCTTTTAAAATAAGACATAGAAAAAAATTACATTAAATATATGACCATAATACCTATTTTCCCATGCATGATTGAGAGAATCAATCAGGATGTTGTATACCACTAGTAATGTTATATATTTTTCCTAAATTTATTGAATTACAAAAAATATTACACATTAATATATTAAAACCAAACTATAACTAAAACTATATTAATAGACAATTCATTATCATAAACATAAAAAGTGTGCAAGACGTAGACTATTAATTTGAGATCAATGCCAAATTTGAGATCAATTCAGCTATCTTTTTTTTTTACCAAGAAGGCATATTTTTCTTGATTATTCTTAATAATATATTTGTAATTTCATAACAACAGTACATGCTGAAAGGCATGTACTTTGTAAATATAATTATGGCATACTTAAAAAACTTATATTAAATAAATGGTTTTATAACCGTTACAATATAGATGTTTATTATTATTCATTGAGCTATCAAATTCTACTAATTGCTGCCTACCATTGTCAGAAGATATTGAATCTAACCAAAGTAACACACACAATTATCTTAATTTATAGTTAGGAAAACTTTCAATTAGACGTTGTAAACATTATGTACTTGAAATAATTATTAATAATTCTTCATAAAAAATAACTTACTGCTATTTGGTACTCCGGTAAATAGAAAAATTACCAATTGAAACCTCAATATTTCTTATCTTAATAATATAATTCTAAAGGATACTGAATAAATAAATCTTAAATAATTAATTAATTTCTCTGATTTCCCCACCTTTCTTTTCTATTAAATTTATACCTCTTACTTACTTTTTATGACTGATGTAATAATACTGAATTGTTTACTTAAGCATTTTAACAAGGTATTTTACATCGACAGTACTTTCAGAAGGTTATTATAATAACATAAAAAAAAACTGCATAGAACATGCCCTCCTTTTAAATAATAACTTCACTAAAAAGTAATGTTTGACAGACATTAATAACATTTTTACACACTACTTTATATATGCCTTGATCGAATACCTTGTAAAAACTAAAACCAACATTAAACAACACTACTATAAAAACTCCTACTATGAAGTTTGAAATATTTATCAGGATGGTCAGAATATTGCCTTAAGTACAATAACTAAAAGTAATCCGTCATCTTTGAGTAATCTTGAAAATTAAAATAAATCTTTTATTTTTTAATAGTAATACATTTCATCACTGCAATTATCAAATTAAAACCCAAATAACCTTTCATACACTAATTTTATTACAGAGTTGCTTCCACTCAAAATGTGTTCCTCTGCATTAGAGATAAACCCCTTTGCACAAAAACAAATGGCTAAAAAATAAATATCTAATCTATATCAATATTGCCGGTTATTGCAAAAAAGTCATTAGTTGACATTTCCTGAACATAACTAAATTAGAACTTTGAATAATTTTTCCTTAGCGATATCAGAAAAGTTTGCACTTGTTGTAACTATACTTGATTTGCAAAAGTGTTTTTTTGTTTTTCATACTCTTACTGAGTTTTTGTATCGATAAATAAAGTTGAAATTCTTAAAAATATTTTAATAATTAAACCTTACTAAATGCACTTTTATAAAATACTAAATGCATTAACATAAAATAACATAATGACTTTGTGCAATAAATCGACGATCTACTTAATTTTGATCTCTTCATTTATACGTCTAAATCTATAATAGAAATTTGACTTCTAATTTATATTGATCATAACTTAATCTTCAATAATTTTAACTGAGGTAAATTCAAAACTGTTTATTGTCTGAAAATTTAAAGTTATTGTTTTTATAACATTAATAATCAACAACAAATTTAGAAATAAATCTCATAAAATTATCATTAAAAATAGAATAAAAATATCAGTATATTTTTTTATTATAAAAAGAAAAAGCATTTAATGATTTTTGTCCCTAAAAGAAAAAAACTTAAGAAAACAAAATCTGGATTTTCCATATATTTAAAACGAACTAAAAGGCAGTTTTTGAGTCTTTTAGAGTATTGAATACATGAAGAATTTTTAAAAAAAAACTTTTAATAATTTAGAATTACAAAAAGTTGAAATGAACTAGTTCTGCTTCTTAACTATACGGTAACTTATTTTTAATGTATTTTATTATTAATAAGTTAATATAGATTAGTAACAAACTGATCAAGAGATAGATAGGTTATAATTTGGAAAAACGCAAACCACACAGACTTATCTCTCCAAAATGCAGGCAAAGAAAACAAACCTGTCAGTCTGGCAAGGCTGTGTGGGTTTGGGATTTTTCCAAATTATAATCTAACATTATAGATAACAACTATCATACTTTTCGTGGGCATAAAATTATAGAGTGAAAATGGAAGTATAATCCACATAGTCTGAATAGTACTAAATTTTTTACTACATAAGAAATAGTAGCCTAACTACTATAATCCTGAATTTTAACTAGACCTCTAGGTTAGACAGTTTATTGTATTAATATATTTCATATTCTCCCTTACTAATTACGCTCATGAACAAAACTTAACTTATTAGTTAGGTTACTTTTTAAGTA